AATCTCTTGGTTAGGAAAAACGAAATACTGAAGATGCGTTTTTTCCGTTTTTTTAGGAAAATACTGTTTTCTACCTAACTCGGCCAAAATAAGTTGAAACTTAAAGATATTTTCACATATGGTAGAGCTTAGTGATAGCTTTCTTTTGACGAAAGGATGAAGTCTCTATCTGTCAGGGAAGCCGAGATATTGCAAAATAAAAGAGGTCTTAAACTTTTCAATAGCACTGTAGATATAAAAATTAAACCGGTCCTGAAAGGGTTAATCGTTTTCTCTTTGCAACGACTGACCACTTTTATCTTTCTAACCATATTCAACAACGTTACAAGACTCATTTTACTCAGGAATGACCTGCTTTTACCAGGACACTAGATATCTATAGGTCCTTGTTAATCGTGATTAAAAAAGTCGAGATTGCACTAGAGAATTGTTAATCATAATTAAGAACGTTGTATAACAGTAGTATAGCTTGTATAAACTACCCTATTAACATAAAATATCGGGTGATTCAGTGAAAATGGGTCACTTTTTGTTTTCGATTTTTCTCAGCCATGTTTCATCCGTTTGACTTCATTCATATACCACAAGATGCGTCTTGAAATTCCTCTACAAAAATCGTATTGAGCGTTTTACTAAAAAAATAAAAGTGGACGGATATATGAAAAACACTGATGATATTTTAAATAGTCAACTTTTTAAAATATTTTATGTTAGTATCTCGCAACTGATTACATGAGAATTTCTTAGTGTTACTCGTTTTCAGAACGATAATCATTTTCACTCATGAGTTTCGTACTATTGTGTAAAATCGTTCTCGCCCGTACAAAAAAATCTTTTTGGGTTCGGATTTTCTTTGTTTTATAGTGAAAAGATATGTCTTTTATATCCAAATACAAGAAATCCAACGACTCTCCATCTTTCAATGTCAAGTGAAAAGATGAAATTTCCCTTGCTATGTAGGGAATTTCAATAAGGTTACTCATTGCATTATAACATTAGGCTTGGACGAAATTCATCATACACGGTGAGAAAGATCACCATTGACAAACATCAGAAAACTTATTTTGGTGTATCTTGGCAACTGTGTAAGATTTTGGAAAGAGTTTGAATTCGCCCAAAATACTTTAGAAAGTTGACTATTTCAAATATCATCAGTGTTTTTCATATATCCGTCTACTTTTATTTTTTTAGTAAAACGCTCAATACGATTTTTGTAGAGGACTTTCAAGACACATCTTGTGGTATATGAATGAAGTCAAACGGATGAAACATGGCTGAGAAAAATCGAAAACAAAAAGTGGCCCATTTTCACTGGACCACTCAATACTTGGTTTATTCCTTCAAAAAGATGCTTGATAAGTAAATTATTTTGCAAAAACTTGTAGATACCCTGCTTAGTGTGGCAATTGTATCGATAATATATAATGGTAAATACACTTGAGATGTATTCAAAACAACTCTAGTACACATCCAAATGAATGTAACTTGATAAAATTGTCGTTCTTTTAAAAAATCTTTCCATGACATTTTAACGACGAGTGATTGAGTGGATGAAAGTGATCGTGATAATTCCCAATTTGCTTCTCTTGGACGTTCACGTGATGCAATATGGAAAAATATCGAACATGATAAACCAAAACCCAAAACAATATAGGTCAAATTCTAAATGAAGAAAGAATCAAGTCTAGACTTTCAAAACAATTAGTTTTGACGTATTGTAGTTTAATTTGTGTGAAATTTATTAGTCAATTGCTTTGTATTAAAACCTGGCGAATTTTTCTACATTTTACTTCTCATAGAATTTGATAGTACAAGAAATTCTTACTCGGAATACGGGTGCATCTTCTCTTGTTATATTATTTGTTTGAGCTCCATTTGTATTCATTCCTAACAACAGCCATGTACAAGCGTAAACAAATATATTCGATATAACTGTCCACGCATATCTAAAACAATAGCACAGACAAATGATGCAATAGAATCACAATAACTTATTTCTGTTTTAAAAGTCATGCATAATCAAGAAAAATATCTGTATGTAACTTAAAAAAATATCCGCTTATCTTCTGAAACTATAGCTGAGATAATCATAGATAGTTTTTATTCTACTTAATATTTTTCTACCTGAATGAATTGAGTTGTACTCGTTCCCCATCAACATGTGTTAATTCATTAATCATTGCTAAATGAGCGATTTGTGAACATGCCCATCCAAATTGAAATATAATAATGAATGAAGCATAGTAAATAAACTGAGACCAATAATCAGCCTGCGAACAATGAACACATAAATTAAAACAAAATGGAAATGAACATATAACACAAATCACACCTAAAATATACAAATAAAAACATAAATAAAATTAGAAAAATCAGTTGAAAAAACCCTAAGGCAAGGTGCCGGTAATTCAAAATCACAGTAGGAAATATATATTTTTCTCTTTTTTGGCATGGCTGAATAGAGCTCATCGATTTGCATCGGAAAAACACAATCCCACATTTTAAGAAGTCATTTTTTGATGGAAACATTTAAAAATATCCATTTTTTGAAAATAAACAAAAATCCGTGAAGTTGTTGAAAACAAGCAAATTTTTCGTATTTATTGTTTTTCTAAAATTCCTAAACTATTTTTTTCTGATTTTTCGTCGAAAACTGAGTATAAAAAGCTAAATTTCTAAATTTTAAAGTTGAAACTGACCGCCAAATTTACGAAGCAAAAGCAGAATTTCGTAGCTATCCTACTGTCGAATATATTATTTAATTGTTATTAGTATATGTATTGTATCATATGTATATTGTATTATACGTATATGTATAAGTATTAATTGTTATTTCTTTCTAATCAGTATACTTGTAGGGAAAATAGTATGCGACGCTTTTTTTGCAAATTTTGTTCCATTGCTGAGAAAATTCCGTTTTTTCTAAATCAGAGGAAAAAAGTCGAACGGAATTCTGCCAGTAATTCTCAATTTTCACCATTTGAACTCAACTTTTGAGCAATAAAAATACCACATTTTGGAATTGGGATCAAAAACTGAGTCGACTAATGTGTATTTCAAAATTTTTAGTTGATTTTCAGCTTTCGGTAAAAATCTTGGTAGTTTTTCAACGTGAAAATTCGAAAAAAATAAAGTAGTCAGATAGAATAGAAATACACATTAGTCGACTCAGTTTTTGATCCTGATTCCAAATATGCTATTTTTATTGCTCAGAAGTTGAATTCTGATCGAGAAAATCGAGAAAATTATACTGATTAGAAGGAAATAACAATTAATACTTGGTCTTTCGATGGAAAAAACGAGATACGTTCGCAAATTCGACAGTAGGATAGCTACGAAATTCTGCTTCTGCTTCGTAAATTTGGCGGTCAGTTTCAACTTTAAAATTTAGAA